GATACCCATCCCTAGTCTTTACTATACAATGTAAAGTACCTTGAGGAGACTGGTTTTTGTGACCTAGCACTATATAAATAAAATTAAGTAAAGTCAAGTAATCGTTTACCAGTTACATTTTATCTGTTCTCACCTTTAAGCTCTACAATCATGAACATCTTCTATATATGAATTTTACTCAACTATAATTCATTTTTTGGAAGTCCCTGTTTACCTGGCACTAATTTCAGCTTGACTTCAGTGTAGATATCTTTTCCAGTTCTGGTCACTCCACACCAGTATTTCCCAGCATCCTCAGAATGAAGATCAGAGATGGTTGTTGTGAAGATTCGTGCTGTTTTGTCATCATTGATCCTGTATTTATTTTTCCATGATTCCGATGTTGTAATAAGAACATCACTGTCACCACAGTCGTTCTTACACAAGTACTTCTCATAAGACTCATAACCTTCATCATAGGAACAGGAAACTTTAACTATACTCCCCACATATCCAGTCACATGGATCACCCCTACTGCACTGGTCACACACCTCAGAACAACTGTAACGTAAAGAAAATATAAAGATCAGGAGTAGTATTTAAGTACACAATTAGTCTAGATTTATCTTTAGTCTTCATCTTTTTACTAATGTACTCATTAAAATAACTCACTGCAGATGGTCAACAGCAGGTTTTGAAAGCTCCACATCTTTGCTTTGGTTCATAGAAATAAAAACTTAAGAGGAAATCCTGTGAATAAATGACGCCCTTAGAGGTTATAGATGCAGAAGACTTTCACTTCTGCATTTTGAGCAATTTTTTTAGTCCTTGCACAATTGCATTTTTAATGTGGAAACTCTTGTCATTTAGACTGATTAGACTGGTAGTAAATAAACTGACTTTTTTCTGGTGAATTATTTGTGTGGGTATTATTCTGAGGTTTACACTAAAAACAGTTCCTATGAAGTTGGTAAATGTAACATAGCATTTTATTTTCCTTCGACTGAGGGGCACTACAGCCTAATATCATAAAACAGGACAATAACTGAACAAATATTCCCTAATGTTAGATTGTGTTAAAATCATTTTTGATTTATGTGCAAGATCCACTTTCAAGGTTAAGAGAACAAGTTACCATGGTGCAGTGGCAGGACTGAAGGAAAAGCCAGAGTCCAGAAACAAAACAAAACAAAAATTGTCCTGGAGCTCTCCTTGGCCATAAAACAAGACACAGGTTTGAAACACAATAAAACAGCAAGAAATACTCAGTCCTTCAATACAAAATGTTCAGGCGGCCAGCGCGGCAACTAGAAGAGGCTGCCCAGGCCGCAGTGCAAAACTCAGGGGTGAGACCAGTAGCTGCAGACAAAGGAAGTCTGGAGGCCAGCCACGAGGCCAGTGGGAGAGACAAAGTAGATCTGGAGGCCAGTGACAGAGATGGCTGGCAAAAGAGAAAGCCTTCAAAGCCTGCCATCAAAGAGACTTGGCCTCCTGCAACATGGAAGCCTTGAGTGCTGGTTCTAGGTGCCTAGGAAAACCAGGTGCTGGCTCCTCTGGGTCCAACACATCCTGGTGGAACCGGACCCACTGGCTCAAGCTCAGACTGCTAAGGTGCTGGTTGCTGTGTTGACATGATGGACTGAGTGGATGTTTTAGTGGTGGATAAGCTAGCTGGCACAGGGACTGAATATCCCAGAAACTTAAAAAATTACTACATAGGAGTAAGGTCGCAGTGTTTAGAGTCACAATTATTCTTCTCTTTGTCAAACAGGTGTGCTCAGAATTTGGTTTTGCTACTTTGCTCACTTTATACTTATGTTGCTACTTTAATTTAATTTAATTTAATTTGTGGTTTTGCACAATTTCAGTGCAGATAATTAATTCTAAGCAATAAAAATACTGTGAAGGCTTGTGTCCATCCCCTTGATTACGATACTGCATTACAAGCATACTTGTATGCTTGTAATGCATACTTAAACCCTGGATTAACGGAGATGTTCACGCGGCACTGGCGGCACGGAACACCGCCTTTGCCTCCGCGAACACATCGGACTACAAACACGCACATTACCAACTCCGGAAGA